GGAGGGGGGGGGGGACTTTAAGGCCACAATAGGGGCAAAATAGAGGGGCAGATGGGTTTGATAGGGAGGTGTGAGGAGGTCATGCAGACACATGAGGCAGTAATCTGGGGCAGCGCTGGTTGCCTGTTTGTCTAGGGTAGAGGTTCCAAACCTAGTATTAGCTTCTAGGCTGAGGAACCCCCTTAGCAAACCCACACATGTAAAGCAACATCAACTTTTAGAATGTATACTTTACTATTCAATAATTATTACATAAGTTTAGCATTCGAGAATTATTATTTAACATGTTTCCTGTTTAACCCTGTTTAAACGTGTTATCCATTTTGCGCTAGCTAGCTACACGCTATCTTAAGGAGCAGAGCAGATTGATAACGGGCACAAACCGCTAGGTCTACACAGATCATGACGTTGTCATGCCGACATTGCAGCTGTCACATGAGGTGCGTTCAGGTACTATCGGAAAACTGAGATTCCGACGATTACAACAGTTGATATGATTGTTGTTATTTTTTGAATTGTTCAGGACAAGTGGTTATTAAAAAAAATCATATCTTCCCTCCAATTTTCCGAGTCTCCCTACTGCCCCCTGGTGGCCCCTAATTGAAAACCACAGATGTAGAGAATACATAACAACTGGCCCTGAGGCCCCTCAATGTGACTTTGCACAAACACAAAGTTATGCATCCACTGTGTGTAACACTTTCTAGGTAAGGCAGGGTATGAGAAATGAATGAACCCAAATCTGTAGAAGTATAAAGTAATTTATCCCTAATGTCAGAAAATCTCTTGCCTGAATTTAGCTCTTACCTTTCTAAATAACTAAATAAATCAAAATACATGAATTAAAGAATGAGATGTACCACAGTGGATGGACTCTTTACTTCTTCCTTCTGATGTGGATTAAAAAGATCATGTTGGTCTGTCTTTGCAGACAAAAAAAGACACAGTAACGTGTCCCAGTTTGGAACTGATTTCTACTTCTGGGTTTGTGATTGTGGTGAATTAGTGAGTAAAACTGCTCATTAAGTTGGTATGCGCGGCATTCGAGTAGGTAGGTCTGCAACTTAAAAGAGAGAGGTGTGTCCTGCTCTGCGCTTCCGTCAATTATGCCTGATGAGCACCTTGCCAACAATGAATTCCACTGGCCATTGATGTACAGTCTATGGATTTTAGGGTAATTAAAGTCTCTTCTATTCCTAAGCCCTGGCGCTGTACCTCTGTCTGTCCCTCTCCTTAGCTCGGAGTAGTTTCTCAAGTACACTAAGTGATGAATGGAGCTTCCCTGGTATTCCCGTCTCTGGATTACTAGACCGCTGATGCTTACTTGGGTTTAAAAAAAAAAATTAAAAAAAAAGTAGAGGCGGAGAGGAATGGAGAGAGAGTTACATGTATAGAGAAGTAAAGATGACAATTAGCCAGGTTGGAGAGTTTTGTGTGTGTCTTTGTGAGTGCACGTGTGTGTGTGGAGGGGTGGGGCTGGGGGGCGGGGGTTCTACAAAGAATTGGGGCAACGAAGTGGGTTAGAAGAGGGCAGTGAACTGCTCTGCACTACTGAAGAGGGAATGACAAAGAATGCACTTGAATTAGGTTGGGCGGGGCTTCTGTAAAATAAGACAAAAAAACCTCTCTGGAGTGTACATGAATGAAATATATAAGAAATGATAAGAAGGAGAAAAAAAAGAGAAAAGAAGAAACAGACGAAAGAAGTGCGCTGTGTTCCATGCAGCTGACGGGACAAAACAACACAGTTACAAGTAGTGGCACATCCACATGCAGTAGGGAACGGCGTGCCCTCTGACCGTTGATTCATCGTTCCGTCTAACGTCCTGCGATGTGAACGTGTAATTTAGAGGGGGTCAAGGGTACGGGACGATGACGCTCGGTGGCCATTTGTAATATTTACGTGCAGTTTGTTTCAATACGTTGGATGCTTTCCACACATCAGACCGGTAATTATGTGGAGGATGAGAGGGAGTGGTAGAGGTTGGAGGGAAAATGAATGGTGGGGTGGCTCGCTTCTGCAGGTTTCTTTTTCCAAGATCAGGCTGCAACTGAGATGTCTGCTCTTAACCACATCGGTTGAAGTGTTTGTGCACACACACACACACACACACGGACACACACACACACACAAACAAGCACTCTTCCTCGTGGTAGTTTTCGTACCTTTTCACTTGATTTATTATCTAAATAAAGGCTTCGGACAAGACAGGCAATCAGGTGCTATCACCAGATAAGCGGAAAGTAGGGCACTTCTACACTAGAAGTGTACTGAGGAGGAAGGGACAAGTAGTTGTGAGTGTTGAATCACAGACATAGGAGTCTTTCTCTCTTTAAAAGGCAGAGGAAAAAGACAGAGAGAGAGACAGAGATATGGACGGACCGAAGACAGAGAGAGGGGAAAGGGAAAGGTCCTGCTCCCTCTCTTTGCTTTCCCATGATGGTTTCCTTCACTTCTCAAGAGTAGCTGAAAAGAAAACAGGTTAAAACGCTTTGAATTGGCATTCCACTGTGTGTGTGTGTGTGTGAGAGAGAGAGAGAGAGAAGGGGGGGAGGTTTGGGGGCCCTGGAGACAAGTGACGAGCCATCAGGGGAGGAAGGTGAGGCAGAGCCTGACCAGTCGTCACATTAGATAAAGTGATGATAATGATAAAACTTAAAAAATGCTAAAAAAAATAAATAAAAATAAAAACAACATAATTACAGTTTGGTTAAGTGATAACTTTGCCTTACCTGTTATAAAGAAGAAAAACAGCAGGTGAAGCAGTACTGTCTCTGCATACACAGACATACAGTACAGGAGTTTCGTTTCCCGTGGTATCGATGTATATCGATACTGACACCAGTATTGATTGAGTAATGATTATTCTCATATCGATACTGATTAACAGATGAAAAAAAAAGCTTGCACCTCTTACATACTGTATAGGCTTTTATGCTGCACCCCCCCCCCTTCCCCCGTTGCCCCGGTAACATAAATCTGAACCAATCCGTTCCTGACCTGTAACCACTGACCAGAAGAGTGAACGTGACCCCATGTGATCAAGTCGACTAGACATCCTTGTCCCTTAATGGTTTTTATTGGGTTAAAAGAAAAAAAAAAGTAAACAAAGTATTAGTGTCAGTAGAAAGAAAAATTACCAAAAAAAAAGGAATCGATATCGTATCAAATCAAATACGGTATCGCCTGTTACCAACATAAAGAATAATGTCATCGATATAATGTTTGCAGACTCATTTTATATATATATACCTTTTCCCTCTAATATCTTTAATAAAAGTGTGTGAAATATTTCAGCTTGCTGACCTTAAATAATTACCTGTCCTGTTGGGTTCCTCGTCAATAGCGCGCTGTTTTTATCATATATCAACATATCACCGCATACAATAATATCATTGATTTCAATCATAATTATGACAGTTGAGTCTATAGAAGAAGAAAGCCTACCAGACGGTAAAGTGGAATTTAAACATTAATCAAGATAAGAAAGATTGAACCCCCTAGTGTACCTGTTTTGGCCTGCGGGCCACATGTTTGACACCACTGCTTTAAAATGTACTTTTACCATGGTACAGACTCATGTTGTTGAATTGAATGGGTCACGTTTCTTTCTTGGCCAAAAACCTACTGTATGAACCATTCCTGTGACAGTGTGTAAATACGTAACATAACTAGTACTGATTGTACTTTTTTGCCAATTGTTGTGGTTAGGGTTCAGTAAATAGTCTGTGCCGCAACTGCCATGAACCTCACCGCACATCGCTGGTAGGCACAGAGAAACAAAGTTTGCATAATGTGTGAACATGTTTATTTTGGTACCGACCGCCAGTCTGTCTGTGGAACTGCTAACATGTCAGTCGGTGGTTCGCTAACCCTTGTCATCTCAGAGGAAAGCTTTTTTTTCTCGCTGAACCTGTAATGTCGGACCAAACGTTTCCGTACTCAACAGATAAAATCCTTCACACCCAGCTGCCTTTCTCCCTGTGTTTGTGTGTGCTTCATTTTCGTCCAAACACACACACACACACACCAAGAAATAACTAACATCCAGCTGGAAATAGAGTGGGGTTATTAAAGTAATCTGGTCTGTTTCTGCTCTAGTTCCTGTTCAACTACCCCTTCCAGGCAACTACCAATCTTCAGTTATCCAGGTCTGGCGCCAACACTGAAAAGTTCTCCATATGTCCAGCTTGCCCCCGTGGGATATCTTGTTTTGCTATTGCTGCCGCCATCACGAGGTCCACCTGGTCTTCTACTGCTGTCGGTGGAGAGTTTCCCTGGTCTGCTATTGCTGCTGCCATCGTGGGCAGGGGGAGTAGGGTCCTCTTGTCTCTTCCTGCTTCTGTGGAGGCGGCAGAGTCTCCTATGTCTGATGCAGCCATTGCACTGCAAGTTCCTCTATGGTACCTGCTGCCCCAGACTCTGGGGCAGCAGAGTCTACTTTTCGGAGGGATTAATAAAGTTCTATCTACCTAACAAGTATTAAATAAGTTGTGCCCACATTTATGTCATCAACTTCAAAGGCCTGTTAGCCTAGTATCTATGTAATATTTGTGTATTTTTAATGAAATTTTGCAGTAAGGGTTAGGGTAGCTGCAAAGTTGAGTGAATGATCACAGAATCAGTGCGATACATCACCGGTACTCAAGAATGTTGGTGTCCAACACTATAATGCATATGGAGCCATTTTGGGAGCCTACAAGCTATCGAGGCATATTTAGTAAAACTCAGGCATTGCAGTATCGGGTTTTCATTATCGGAGGAAAAACCGATAACGATTCTTACCGATATTACATAATTGTGCTAATATTGGGCCGATAATATCGGTCAACCGACATTATCAGACATCCCTAGTATATATACATATATGTATACACACGCAAACTTGATGTCAGTTGACTTGCACCTGACCCCTGCTTGTCCATTCACCTAACTGAATAATAAACATGAAGTATTGTATGTATGACTAACAAACAGTTCACACATTTGTTCTACGGGCAAGCTGGAATATTTCCCACACAGACGTAATATATCACTACCCAGTTGGCGTTACATCCATATTATACAACCTGCTAAAAGAGTCTCCCATCATTCATGACCCCTGGCATTTATATGCACCTTGACCTGCAAGAAAGTGGATCACGTCTCTGTTTGTTTGCATGCCTGTTTGTGTGGGTGCCAAGTGATGGCCGATGTGGCTGCAACTTACCGATGCAGGTCTTGCTGTCTGAGTGCAGAGCATATTTTTGATGGCAGCCACACACCGGTCCTATGTCTGTGTCGTCACAAGTATGCTGGCACCCCCCGTTTCCATAGTTACACGTTACTGAAGACAAAAAATAACACAGCGGTCAAAATAAAAAAAAAAAGTGATATGTTGGACTAAGAAAATACGACAAACATTAAGGCTAACAGTCCAAAAACAACAACAGTTGAAGGACTAAAGAAACAAGTGCGGTTCCACGTCAGATTGTTCCAGGTGGTAAAGTTTGATCCATTTGAAAATGTTTTAACTTACGGTACATTTAACATCAATGAACTAAAATCGAGATATTTCGAATCTCAATAACTTTGCTAAATTCATTAAGAAAATGGTGTTTAACCGCTGCCTGCAGTGGAGAGTGCTGTCCGGCCAAACACAGAGACAGGTTTGCCATCGAAAACATTCTGCGGCTAATGTGTCAAAGGCTTGAACTACATTGATGTGTCCAAAATTGACTTCCAAGTACTTTTTCATATGAGAAGCTGCGGAGAAGAAAAGCACTCATAAAGCATGTGACATTGGAGGCACGTTGGCCAAACTTAATTACTAACCAACGTTCTTGGTCGAGGAAGATAGGAGAGGGGTAAGAAATAAAGTCGAGAGGCAGAGAAATAAAGAGAGTAGATGGGATTATTGTGTGTGTTTGTGTGTAAGCTGCGGATAGTTGCCATCGCTTTCATTTATTACCATCCCGTGCTAATAAAATACAAACACAGCAGGGGACACGTTAAATACTTTCAGAGGCTTACGCAGTGCTTATATTCTGACTATGTGCTAGGAGAACAGGCTGTGTTGCCAAAAATGTGTAACTAATAGCCATTTTTTTTCCTCTCTCAGAAACAGCAGCCCTAAATTCCATGTCTACAGGCACTCAGCGTGAGCAACAGGGATGTGGGGGTAAATGGGGTGGGGGGGGGTTCAAGACGTGAACCCTTTAATGAATCCTTCAGCAGAGATAGCTCAGTCTCAGATGACTAAGTAAATTTACTGATTACTGACCGACCGCCCCTTGAGTTTTGGCTGGAACTGGTCCAATCGTTGCTGTTATAGATGTTTATTGTCGTAACAATCGAGATTGTTTATTGCAAAAGAAACTCAATAAAATCAAGTGGATAAAACCAGGTGTTTATGCCTTGCTATCAAATGAATAGTAAAAAAATTACAAGTTAAGTGACTTAGGAGAACTACAATAACTCTATTAGAACACAGTCGAACAACGAAACTCCGATCCTTTCCTTAAATTTAAAAAAAAAAATATAATCAGTCCTATTTATATTGTCTAAACTGGTATTAGTCGTATTTAGCCGTATTAGCTGTAAGTAAAGGGATATGACTGGATTCTTTTTGGATGAAGTAAATTAGTAAGTAAATTTTTTCATTTTTTCGTGTTCCACTGCGGCCCGGTACAATGACCTATGGACTGGCACCGGTCCCCCGACCCAGGGTTGGGCACCCCAGGTTTAAACTGCAATAAAGCAAAAATCTACAGTTTTTGGTGTTGATTTTGAAAATCACATAATTGGATACAATTTACTTAAATAATAATCCTAGCTCTGAAAGTCTGTCATCATCTTACTGTACCTGAAAAATAAACGATTGATTTATAACCTCATTATTTAAAAAAAGGAATAAAATAGACATAGATTTGACTTTGACCTCAGACCTCAGCTGGTCTGGTCAGCTGGTACCACCTTGGTGTGAATGAATGTGAGAGGCACGGCTTAGTGGATCTGCGCTCCACAATGCAGCCTAGGGCAAAGTAGTCGAGCACAGATCTACTGAGTTTTCAGAACAGAGTGCATTGTCAGTAGTTGATCAAATAAATTGTAATATTGAAACCAGCACATCGTGTATTATGACCGTGAGGTGAAAAGAATACATACATGTACAGTCTTTCTGGTTTTTGGCCAACTCAAAGCCAGGTCGGCATTCGCAAGACACTCCCCCTTTGCCAGGAGCCTCTCTGCAGATGTGGGCACAGCCGTGGTCCTTGTTCATGCAGTTCATTCCATCTGTGAAAATAACAAAGACAGGTAGACAGAAGCACTTTAGTAGTATATATATATATATATATATATATATATACATATACTGTATATATATACTGTATACTAGATACATGGTTGGATAGATCAATAGATCAATAGATTGTAGATCGATAGATAGGACTTAATATCTTGAAAGTTCCCTTTGGGAAATTATGGACTTACTACTATATTATATATCAATAAATACATATAAATATATATTCATATATATGTCAAATACATTTATATATACAGTATATATAAGCTATATAATATATAATGTAATAATTGTAAGTCGCTTTAAATAACAGTGTCTGCTAAATCCGTCCGACATTTGTTCCGGTTGGGGCAAAAGTGAAGCGAAGTGCATCGTGTATAAAGTTGTCACATATGGATAAGGGTGACAGTGATCTGACAACAGGAAACATAAACCACAACAACTATTTACCACAATAATAAGACCCTTCACAAGAGTCATGAGTCGTAGCTGGTGGAAATAACAACATAGTCAGGAATATTCAAAAAATAATGAGAAGAGAAGAGACGGGCAGTTTAACAATTGTTTTAAATCAAAAAAAATTTTTTTTTGAATTTTAAAATGAGAAAAATGACTTAGGGGGTTGGTACTTTTTGCCAGACTTAAATAAGAAGAAAAAATAGTACCTTGTTCACTTCCGAGCTTGACGTGCCCTTACATAAGAGGAATCAGCTACGGGCAGCTGCAGGGAAGTGTGGTTTAGAGGCTGAAAACCAACAATTTGGACAACTACTTAATCAACGTTCTGCTGCTTTTCAACATGTAAAATGTGACTATTATTTATCTCGGATCACTGTTTAAATGAACCTAAGAGATTTTGGAAACACATTAAATCTCTTTCTGGCAACATCTGCTCAACACAACTGCCAGAAACAATAATTCCACCTGCGTCTCAAACAGTTCTGAAAGGCTTAGCTGTCTTAATAGAGATTTTGTTGTCACAGGTGCATTGCTTGATAGAGTTTCTGATGAAAATGAAAATCCACTTCTACTTCCATAAGTCATGTGTCAAAAATTGGCTTTTTTAACCCGACTGCTGAAAGAAGTTGATTCCAAGGCTCTAAAAGAATTTTAAAACAGTTTTTACTGAACTTCCCATCCCCGGTGATAGCTGCGATTAAATTCCCTGTATATAAGCCCCCCCTCTGCCGCCGCGACCCCATCATTATTTTTCTAGATCTGATTCTGAAAACTTGTGTTCTTATTTAGGAACAAAATGTTTTCAGTTTAGTGCCACAAAACTGCCAGCTTGTACCCGCCTCTTTCTTACCAATTATGGCTTATAATAAAGTGAAACTGACCATCACCTAATAATCATTCAGAGCTCAGACCTTAGCTTGTGCCATCCTGGTTGATAAGCAGAAATTGACTGTTTACTGTCTACCCAGAGGTGAGAATGACTTAAATTTAGGGATCGGCCGACTGATATTATCAGCTCGATATTATCGGACATTCCGAAACATCTTCGCAATGTCATGAGTCTAGGCCATGAGTCTCAAAAACTCATGGCCTACAAACTCATGGCCTAAAAGCTGTGGCCTACAAGCTGTGTACTTTGTACTGTGTACTCTGGTTGCCAAGCAACAGCATTTCGTTGCCAGACTCACTGTTTTTTGTGTTTCTGTGCAATGACAATAAAGAAAGTCTAAATCTAAAAACCTACGACTATAGAAACCCTACTATGGATTGGCTTACCAGTCGGAGGCTAAGAGCCACAGTGTTTACTGTGTTACTGCAATGAGCCACATTATTCCCCTTTGGAAATTCCTAGTCGACATTAGCATGGAGTGAAATGAAGTGCTGCTAAAGATTTGAAGCCTTGAAATGTGCTAATGATGCCTGACGCTTAAGGCAGAATGGTTTGGAGCTGCAGGTTAGCCATGCCCGGTAAAGGCGTTATTTGTGAATCTGTGCTACACAAATAAAATCCAATTGCCTTGACATATGGGTAAGAGCCACCCTCCCATGCCATGTTAAAGTGGCAGCAACTCAAAGTTGCCAAAACGTGAATAAGGTTCAAACCATAGTATGCCAGAAGCACCTGCCTCAACATCCTCTCTAGCCTGTCCAATATCACATTATTATACTGTTATGGGTATTCTAGGTTGGATTGGCCCTTTAATTAGTCTACGCACTCATCAAAACTCATCAAACGGAGACACATCATTTTTTATCCTCAACTCTGATGGACAAACCAGAAGGTGGAGCACTCCAAACATTTTATCTCTGCATATAATACGTGCATTAAAGGCGTAAAATCGTATTAGATTCTAATCTAGGTGTAAACCGATCATGCTGTTTATGGTACTCAACGATAATTATGGCTTGTAGTGTCCATACTGACCAGAGCTGAAAGGTTTGGGCAATTTGAAAACGCATTTAGTCTGTGAAATTTGTAATTCAAGCTGTATAAATGACACGGACCAATCTGTCCAATGAAACGAGTCATATAACAAAATAACTATTTAACTAAAATTACCCAGAAGAACACTTTGTCCTTTTTATGATAAAAATAAAGCAGCCAGGATTAAATCATGTTTTTAGAACTAAATCAACTCCAGAAGCTCAACCATTTCAACTGCAGTATCAAAGTGACTGACATGTCTGAGTAAAGTTTGGAAATAATCACAAATGTTTAAAACTCTGTTTAAGTTAAGGTACCTGAAACACAGTAAAAGATCAAAGTAGAGATACAAAAACATAGTTGGCAAGTAAACTATTACTTGCTCTTAACATAAGACCTGAAGTTTAGTAGTTTTATGCAGAAATGATTTCGCAGCCTGAGAAAAGTCAAAGAATCGCTATTGTGTGTGGTAATGTGGAACTCTCTGTTTGACTTTCAGTTATTTTCAAAAATGTTCAAATACTTAAAAGTCAAAGTCAATGAAAAACACAAGAAGAAATGTTCCACATGCACAAATAAAGGTGACACTTTGCACTGTGATAACATCATTATATTGATATCACCCTCTTTATGTTAGGGTGGGACTGCACCACCAATGAAATCTTTTTATCAGGCCGAACTGGAAAGAGGTGTCACATTGGAGCAGGCATGGGCAAACTAAGGCCCGGGGGCCGGATGCTGCCCATTCAGCTTTGTAATCTGGTCAGCCAAACTTGTCCAAATAATATTATTGGTTTGTAATGTGTGGTTTTACCTATAGGTGGCGTAGAGAAAGCTAAAAGCATCTTAGCATTTTAGCCTTTATGCATGACTTTTACAGATCATTTATCTTAGTTCAGACAAACACTCCATCTATCTGCTCCTGACCCGACCCCCCTGGGAAATTTTAGGACCAATTGTGGCCCGCAAGTCAAAAAGTTTGCCACATGCATTAGACCAGTGTTTCCCAAACTTTTTTTCTGTGGACCCATATTTTAAAAGTCACAAACCTTTGCGACCCAAGTCAATAGACATTATTTGTAAACTCCTGGGAAACATGATGCGAGACACCCCAAAAAAGAAAACCCACCGGGCCACGACCCAGTATTTGGGCCTCTTTACAGAGGCTTGTTCACAAGTTTCCTCTTTAACACTGCTTTTCACGTGCCAACAACAATACCATTCCATCAAAGTATAATAATAAAAGCTGCGTTGTTTCAAACAGTATCCAGTACTAACCCCTTTTCAACATTTTATTGCCCAGATAACATATTATTGTAAACCCTCACTTTAATTTATAACCCAAAGAATCCAGGGACAAAACAAAAAAACAAAACTATCGCAAACACACACACTGGCTGTTTGGACACTAAACTACTGAGACAGAAATGCACCGCCAATTAATTTTAACATGGGAGAAGTTAAATAATCCAAGACGGAGAAAAAAGTACGCACGCAGGACTGACATTCGGCGAGTTGAGCCTAAAACAGCAAACAAGGCAGCAGCTGCCAACTGTGTCTAATGGGACAAGACAGAAAGGCAGAGGCCCACTTACAACATTCAACATTCAGGCCCCAATCACACACAAGCAGAGTAAAACCTAATCCTCCCTCCACCATTCTCCTCCTCTGAGGTTGCCACAATGGTGGTGATTTGACACATTTTGTGCCCGATGCATTAACCATGCCACTAGGATGGAAATTGGGGTTAGGATAAATTTAAACTGGCATCCTACAATTGGGACGATACTTTTTTAATTTATCTGTAGATCTACAGAACAAAAGACGTTCAATCTGTACTCTTGTTGCGTGGGAATTACCTGTCTAGCGGAGCAGACAAATAAGTCCTTATGCAGTGCTATAAAACTCACCTACGAGTTCACATGGAAACTAAGAACGTATGTCATCGTGTGGCACTATACGCGAAGATGGCTTTGTTTACATTCGCCACTCGTACGAGTTGTAGGTACCTAGCTTCAGCATGTGAGTTTTGACTTATGGTGAAAGTCGTTACATCACACCATAGCAACTGAAAACGGACGTAAATCAATGACTTTAAGTATAGAACAGTACTTCTCAAATAGTGGGGCGGGCCCTTCATTATTTGAGCAGACTGATGGTCAGTAGCTGGTCGGACGCCTGTAAAAGACGAGTTAAAAACTAACCAACCAAACGTCAATTCTAGTTGATACTGACATTGATTATCATGAGAAGCGTGATCTGGATGATGGAGAAATTACTCTGACAAAACACTCTTCAACCTTAGATGCTGCCAACACAAGCTCATTCTGCCTTTGTTAGCATTTCACAATGAGAGAGCCTGAAAAAGACAATCTTCTGGACGAGGGGACAGACTGATGGAAATTTAAGAACATCTTTTAGAAAAATTGACTTCAATTTCACGCACTCAACACAAGAGCAGAGAGCAAATAGAGGCCAGTTGGTACGTCTCTCTCAATCTAAAGCCAGCCAGAAATAGAAATCTGAAGTTGAAATCTGAATTGTATTTCAGACAGAAGACAGACAGTTCTAAATAGATATATATATATATACACTACACAAACCAGATGGGTTGCAATCCTCTCCAGCAGGAAACCAATCCAACCAGAAAAGAACAAAGTGTTTAAAAGGTTCAGCTTTGACAGTTCTTCACAGCGGTTTTCAGTATCTTATAACAGCTACGAAATCCAACATAAATAAAGAAACTTTCAGATACAGAAGCTGAAGAGAACATCGGGAGCTCTTTTAAATGTCTTGGCTTCCTCTTCTATCCAAGAAAGTAAAGTTCTAACAAAACTAAACAAGACGACATCACCAACACCAGCAGCTACGAGAAGAATAATGCCTGTATCGACTACATGGAGAGTTCCTAGACTACTCTGTTGTGCTGAGCCAAAACTGTACCCTGTCACGTCAGGCTTTTTCTAAATGGATTAGTGGTGTCAAACTCAGAAGAGGGCAGTGATGTGCAGTGAGGTTCATGACCGACAGCGCTGAGCCCCACAGGAATGATGGGTAACAGGTGCACGCCATGAGTGTCCTCTTCTACGGCAGTGAAATTTAAAAAAAATCGGCGATGTACTGAGGGGGCGAAAGGAGAACCGCGATACAGAGAGGGAGCACTGTATTTTTATCTGTACAAACCACTGTATGAGTTGCTGCCCCCTAGTGACTGGAGGCTTGTTATCATTCAAGCATTACAGCAGTGGTACACTTATGTCCAGCATGCCATATTTCCAGCACCTCAACACCCCTCCCCCCCCCCCTTGCCCCCCCCCCCGGGGGGGCCCCGCCCCACTATTTGAGAAGTACTGTTTTACGCAGAGGCCGGTGGCGAGTCGCTGAACTGTCTTCTTATATACAGTCAGAATACTGAACTTTGTCTGACATAATGGATGGTACCATTCCAAGACTCCCAAGTTGGATTTCCAGTCAATGCTAAAGGAATCAGACTGAGGAAGACAAACTCCCGAGCTGAAGGATCTGCTCCAAAGTTGGAGAAAGGTAATCTGCTCATCTCAAACAGGAATCGATTGCCCCAAAAGAGTGGCTAGGTGGTTGTGCTCGGAGTGTGATTTTGTGTGTTGGGAGGGGCGGATGACAGAGACCTGACAGAGTGGTAAGGGTTTCAAAAACATAGTAATATCTTAAAAGACCATCATGCAATGAGAGAGCACATTCTGACCTTTTAGTGCCAGTCTAAGGCCTGGATAAATGAGTGTGGGTCACATCAGGAAAGGCAGATGACCCACGTGCCAAAACAAACATGTGGATTAGGAAATTGACTACTATGCCGCGTTAGTTTTGGCCCCAGTTAGCAATGTCTGCCCTCCAGCAATGTAAACTTCCAGGGGGGCCAGTGGAAATTGGGCTACTGTTGGTCAGAGGAAAGCGCGTTAAGGGGCAAAACAGGAAAAACATGAGTGTGGAAGGAAAGGCAGAAACATCGGAACGATGACTGGTGAGGGGTTCAAGTATGATGAAGAGTTTTGGATGTTTCGTGATATATATATATATATATATATATATGTATATATAGTTATATCTTTTTTTCCACGGGCCAACGACAAAAAAACAAAATGTTTGTGCTATAACATAGCCCATAAACCGCTAATACTACAAACTCCTCCTCTAATACACATTTGATATGATCCCACAGGCCAAATAGAATTACACTGCGGGCCAGATTTGGTCCCCAGGTCTGTGTTTGACACGTGTCATACATCATTCAATACAGAATTCTTTTGAAAGTAAAAAGTCAAACTTTTTAATTATAATTTCCTCTAGTGGAGACTGTGTGTATGTACAATAATTAAAACGTTAGGTCAGTTGGTGTCTTTGATGTCTGCTGGGCGGAGTCAACCAGTGTCATCACCCTCACCTGTGTCTCCGTCATCAGTCTCACTGCTGTCACCTGGTGCCCTGGGTATATATACACCTCTCTCCCTCACTCTCTGTTTGTGGGATCATTGTTCAGTTTGTTCCGTGTTCTAAGGTCATGTTCTGCTGTTCATGCCTTGTTCCTGTGACCAAGTGAGTTTGTGTTTTTAAACCTGCTGCACCTGGAGAGAGTCTCCCTTGTGCTGCATGTTGGTCCTGCCTGCTTCCTGCTGCCTAGTTATCCATTACCGTTGTTAAGCAAATTCTTTTATACGTCAACCATCAAAAATAAACAAATGGTACGAGGATGTTAAGAAGCTGTGGTCCACAGTGAAATCCTGCTGTAAGGAAAGTGAAAGTGAACTCCTTGTCATTGTGAAACATCACACCACTGCACACAACCAAATGTGACCTCTGCTGTTAACCCTTCAACACAGTCAGCAGGGGGCAGCTTAAGCACCCGGGGAGCAGTGTAACTTAGCAGCTGGTGGACTCGAACCTGAAACCTTCCAGACCCAAGTCCTCTTCCTTAACCACCAAGCCACCACTTTCTTTTTTTCCTACTCTATTCTATTTTATAGGGTGAATAGAAGAGAGAAAAAAGAAAGTCATTGCTTATACATAATTCTGGAGCTCTGAATCTCTGTACCTAAAGTACTCGATTTATTAAAAAGAAATTTTAAAAAATGCCTCAATGAAACCCTATTTTTAATGAATACAACATAT